GTGGGGGGTTGGGGTCCCCAGAGTGGAGGTGGGGGGATGTCCCCAGTCTCACCAGTCCCCTTGTGACCCTGGGGGGGTGTCCCCAGGGGTCCCCACCCCACACAGGGGTTCCCCAGGGCTCTGCCCCCCCAAGTGTCCCTGTCCCCCCTGCAGGGACCTCATGGGAGGATCATGGGGGGGGCTGGGAGGGACAGCGGGGACAGGGAGGCATGAGGGAGAGGGGGTAGAGGAGAGGGAGGGAGGTGGGGAGATGGAGGAGGAGAAGGTTGAAGGGATAGAAACAAAGGGGAGGAGGGAGGATGAACACCACGAGGAAGGAAAGGATGGAGGAGGGAGGGAGGGAGAAATGGAAGGAGGGAGAAATGGAGGGAGGGAGGGAGATTGAAGAGGAGGTGATGAGGGAAGATGAGGATGGACACCAGGAAGAAGGGATGGATGGATGGATAAGAGGAAGGAGGAAGGGAGGAAAGGAGGGAGGAAGAATGGATGGATGGATGGATGGATGGATGGATGGATGGATCTAGGGATGGATGGATGGATGGATGGATAAGGGGAAGGAAGAAGGGAGGAAAGGAGGGAGGAAGAACGGATGGATGGATGGCAGGATGGAGGGATGAGTGGAGGGATGGAGGGATGGATGGATGGATTGATGGAGGGATGGATAGCTGGAGGACTGGATGAAGGATGGAGGGATGGATGGATGGATGGGGGGATGGATGGATCTAGGGATGGATGGATGGATGGATGGATCTCAGGCTGGACAGAGGATGGGGGATGGCAGAGGTTGCCTGAGGCCCCTGGGCTGGCGCTGCTCACCGGTGAAGTCCTCGTGGCACTCGCAGGTGTAGCCGCCCTCGTGGCTGCGGCAGCGCCCGTGGGCACCGCAGGGGCTGGAGTAGCACAGGTCGATCTCGGTCTCGCAGTAGTCGCCGGTGAAGCCAGGCGGGCAGCGGCAGCGCAGCCCTGGCACAGGCCGGATGGGCCGGAACAGGATGGTGTCGGAGGCCAGGAAGGGCGCGGAGCTGTCGAAGCGCAGCACGGCCACGCAGCGCATGTAGTTTTCACAGGGCTCGCGCAGGCACACGTTGTCATCGAAGGGCAGCACTCGCTGTGCCGTGGTGGCCGCCAGCAGCGAGCGGTTGAGGTAGAGCCGCTCCTGCAGCTCCTCGGAGGAGAAGAAGCGCGAGACCACGGGTGGCGGCAGCAGCGCCGACAAGCTCACATTGAGGATCCGCGCCGGCCCCACGTCCGTATCTGCCTGGATGTTGAAGAGCACGACGCGGTGCCGGGGGGTGCCCAGCACGGCCGCCACCCCCTCGAGGAAGCGGCCGAGCAGCGGTGACAGGAAGAGCTCCTGTGACATGTCAGCCAAGCGCAGGGTGATGCTGTTGCTGAGCATCTCGTCCGTGATCACCGTTACCCGCAGCACGCACTGTGCGCTGGCGCTGTGAACACCGTCTGGGGACACGGGGACATGGGTCAGCGGGGGGAAATGGGGACACCGGGGATATGGGGAGGAACTGGGGACACCAAGAACACAGGTCAGCAAGGGGGGTTGGGGACACGGGGGGACATGGAGGTCAGCGGTGGGGAAATGGGGACGTTGGGGGACATGGAGGTCAGTGGGGTGGCTGGGGACATTGGGGGATCAGGGGTGAGGGACATTGGGGTCTGGGTACATTGGGGGGTCAGGGCTGGAGGGGTCTGGGGACATTGGGGTCTGGGGGATATTGGGGTCTGGGGGACATTGGGAGTCTGGGGGACATTGAGGGGTCGGGGGGTGGCCTGGGCGACACTGGGGGGGAGGCAGGGGTGGATGGTCTGAGGGTGGGAGGTGGGGTGGGCATGGGGTGACCAACCCTGTGACCAACCCCATCGGGCACTGGCAAGTGGGGCTGGGGCTGGTTATGGGGTCGGGGCTGGTTATGGGGATGGAGCTGGTTATGGGGATGGGGCTGGTTATGGGGTTGGTACTGGTTATGGGATTGGTTATGGGGTTGGTTATGGGGTTGGGTATGGCTATGGGGTTGGGTATGGCTATGGGGTTGGGTATGGCTATGGGGTTGGTGCTGGTTATGGAGGTGGGGCTGGTTATGGGGCTGGTGCTGGTAATGGGGCTGACATTGCTATGGGGTTGGTGCTGGTTATGGGGTTGGTTATGGGGCTGGTTATGGGACTTGCACTGGTTATGGGGCTGGGGTTGGTTATGGGGTCAGGGGAGACAAAGTCCCTGCCCAGCATTGGGACACCCCCCTTCCTCCTCCTGCTCCTCCTCCTCCCAGGGCAGTGACACTCGGGACAGATGGGCAGTGGGCAGACAGATGGACAGAGGGAGCGTGGGGACTGCGGGGGGCCCAGAGGAGGTGACAGAGTGGGGGGTGGCGGGGCTGGTGGCCCGTGGCCAGTGGTCAGTGCCGGGGGGTGGTTGCCATGGCCGCGGCCGCAGGGGCCCAGCTATGGCCAGACCTTTTGTTTCCTTCGCGGTTGCCCCCGCCCCCGGGGGGGCTTGGGGGGCCCCCAGCCCCCACCCTTTGTGCCCTGGGTCCCCCATTTTGTGTGGCCGGAGCAGGGACCCCAAACTGGGGGTGAGGGGGGAACACGCAGATGGGGACAAGGGACATCACGGCCTGGGCTGTGACTCAGTTTTCCTCCCTGCTCTGGGGAGGGGGGTAAGGAGATGCTCCCCCACCCTAGGGTGACCCCCACCCCCGGCAGCACCTCCTGGCCCCCCTGAATCAATGGTACACCCCCCTCTTATCCCGCGAGCCCCCCATTGCGTTTGGGGACCCCCCAGTGAGGACATCGATGTGTTCCCCCCCCAGATACAAGCACTGGGCTCTCCTGGAAACATCCATTGGGGTGCCAGGACCCCCCAGTACTGCGTTGCACCTCGAGCCCCCACAGATTCACCCACTGGGACGCCCAGCACCCACCCAAGGGTAGCAGGACTCCCCCCTTGCACACACCAGCCTCTGCAACCTCCCCCCAGGTACACACAGTGGGTCCTGCCCCCACCAGCGCCACACAGAGAGGTGTCAGGACCACCCCAACACCCACCAGGGTCCTGCCCCCCCAAAAGAAGGTGCACTGTGGTATTGGACCCCTCCGGACACTCCAGAGGATGGGGGAGGAAAAGGGGGTGCTGCGGACCCTGAATGCCTCCAGAGGGGTGTCTGGGCTGGGGGGGGCACAGCATCCCTCTCCCCCCCTCACCTGGATCTGGAGAGTGGGGGCAGCCAAGATGGGGTGGTGGGGCCCCAAAACACCTCAGTGGGTTGGCAGGACCCCAAGGCACATCAGCCCCCTCGCCCCGATCTGAAGGGTGGGGGCAGCCAAAATGGTGTGGGGAGACCCCATAACACCCCCAAACCTCCCCCACCTCCCTGGGCAGGGGTCCTACCGGACACAGAGACCCTCATGACGGCCTCCAGCGGGCGGTTGTTGTCCAGGGCGGGGCTGAGCCGCAGCTCCCCGCTCTGGGGGTCCAGCAGCACCAGGTTGAGTTCGTTGCCCTGCTCGAAGGCGTAGGTGAGGCGGTCGGACACGTCAGGGTCGTGGGCTGGGATGCGGCCGATGACACCACCAGGGAAGCTCCCAGAGTGGTTGGTGATGTAGTTGTTGAAGAGGATCTCGAAGTTCTTCAGTTGGGGGCTGTTGTCATTTGCATCGCGCAGCCGCACGTGCACGGTGGCCCGGCTGACCAGCGGTGCCGACGTGGCCTGGACCACCATGACGTACTCGGCCTTGGCCTCATAGTCCAGGTCGGCCAGTGCCGTGAGCTCCCCGGAGAAGATGTCCAGCTGGAAGACCTCTGGGATGTTGCCCTCCACAATCTGATACATGATCTGTGCGTTGGTGCCCTCGTCGGGGTCGGTGGCTGTGATCCGGGCCACCACCAGCCCGATGGGGCTGTTCTCCTCCACGAAGATGTCAAACTCGTCATGCTCGAAGACAGGTGGGTTGTCATTGACATCCAGCACCGTCACCTGGATCTCCACTGGTGTCCGCCGCACCGGCACCCCCTTGTCGACAGCGAAGGCCCGCAGGGAGTAGAGCGGCACGTTCTCCCGGTCCAGGCGGCGCAGAGTGCGGACGATGCCTGAGGTGGACTCGATGATGAAGTCGCCATCGCCATCATCACCACCCTGGAAGGTGTAGAACACCCTGCCATTGAGCCCAGAGTCGCGGTCAGTGGCGGAGACCTGCAGAACACTGGTGAAGGCAGGGACATCCTCGTAGACGGAGCCCTGGTAGGAGTGGCGGAGGAACTGCGGTGCGTTGTCGTTGACGTCGCTCACCAGGATCTCCAGGTAGGTGGTGTCGGATTTCTGGGGGATGCCGTTGTCCCGCGCCGTGATGGCCAAGGTGTAGGACACCTGGTCCTCGTAGTCCAGCTCCATCTGGGTGGTGACGGCGCCAGTGTTGGCGGCGATGCGGAACTGGGGGATGCTGTCCTCCATCAGGTAGGTGATGCGGGCATTCTCCCCGGTGTCCTCATCTGTGGCACTGATCACCACCACCGTAGTACCCACTGGCCGGTCCTCGTTGATGTTGATGGTGTAGTGGGAGCTCTGGAAGACAGGACGGTGGGTGTTGGCGTCAGTGACATTGATGACCACCAGGGCGGTGTCCTGGCGGGTGCCGTCGGACGCTGCGACAGTGAGCAGGTACTGTCGCTCCAGCTTGTAGTCCAGGGGCAGGGCGAGAGAGATGAGCCCCCCACCACTCTGGCTGGTGATGGAGAAGCGGTTGCGGGTGTTGCCGCTGGAGATCTGATAAGTGATGACGCTGTTGGCGTCGCGGTCGACGGCAGACACGGTGAGGACACTCGTCCCCACTGTTGCGTCCTCGTTGAGGCGGGCACCGTATTCCCTCTGGGTGAACTCAGGGCTGTTGTCATTGACATCCAGGATGGTGACACTGACGCTGGCCGTGGAGGCCATGGGGGGTGTCCCCTGGTCCTGCGCCTCCACGCCGAAGCTGTAGAAGTCCATGGCCTCCCGGTCCAGCTCGGAGGCCACCACAATCCAGCCGGTGCCATTGTTGATGGTGAAGGGGAAGCCGGCGCTGGTCTCCAGCAGTGTGTAAACCAACCGGCCATTGTCCCCTGAGTCGGCGTCGATGGCCTGCACGTGGATCACAGAGTAGCCCACAGGGACGTTCTCCAGCACGGTGGCCTGGAAGGGCGTGCTGACGAAGATGGGGGCGTTGTCGTTGACGTCCAGCACCTGCACAGTGACCAACCCACTGATGTTGGAGAGGGGCGGGCGGCCGCCATCCTGTGCCCGGATGCGCAGCGTGAACTCCTTGGTGACCTCGAAGTCCAGGGGGGTGATGACGTCCAGGGCGCCCGTCTGGGCATCAATGTAGAAGTGGCCACGGGTGTTGCCGCTGACGATGCTGTAGTGCACCAGGGCATTGCTGCCCTTGTCGCGGTCAGTGGCCGTCACCCGCAGCACGGCTGCATTGGGCACCACATCCTCGGGCACCTGTGCCACGTAGCGCCGCTCGCTGAACTGCGGCGCATTGTCGTTGTCGTCCTCCACCACGATGCGCACGGTGGCCGTGGCACTGCGGGGCTCCTGGCCCTGGTCCGCCGCCTCCACCAGCAGCTCGAAGGCGTCCACCACTTCCCGGTCCACGGGGCCACGTGTGCGGATGACGCCGGAGCGGGGGTCGATCTCGAACACCTCGTTGGCGTTGCCGGCATTGAGGAGCCGGTAGAGCACGTTGGCGTTGGGCCCGGTGTCGCCATCAGTGGCTCGCACGGTCAGCACCTCATAGCCCACCTCCAGGTTCTCCCGCACGCTCTCACGGTACTCAGGCTGCTCAAAGGACGGGTCGTGGTCATTGGCGTCGCCTACAGTGACGGTGAGCGTGGCCATGGCGCTGCGCCGGGGCGCGCCGTGGTCGGCCGCCGTCACGCGGAACACATGGGTACTCTTGCTCTCACGGTCCAGTGGCGCCGCCGTGGTGACGGTGCCTGTCACGGGGTCCATGGCGAACAGGGCGTCAGAGCGACTGTCAAAGAGTGCGGCCATGGCGTAGAGCAGCTGCCCTGCCTCGCCCTCATCAGGGTCCTGTGCCGTCACCCGTGTCACCAGCGTCCCTGCGGGCCGGTTCTCCTCCACCATGGCCTGATAGCTGGAGGGCTGGAACTGCGGCGCTGTATTGGGGCTCCGGCGGGGGCGGAGCACGGGGGGTCTGGGGGCTGCCCTGATCTGGGGGTCCTCAACCGCCCTGGAGCTCATCGTGTCCCCTGTGCCACTGGTGTCCCCAGCATGTCTGGTATTCCCAGTGTTCCTGGTGTTCCTGGGGATGTTGTTGCCCCCAGCACGTCCAGTATTCCCAGTGTCCCTGGGGACTTTGCTGGTGCTCTCAGTGTCCCTGGGGATGTTGGTGCCACCTGCGTGTCCAGCATTCCCAGTGCCCCTGGGGACTTTGTTGGTGCTCTCAGTGCCCCTGGGGATGTTGGTGCCCCCAGTGTGTCCAGTATTCCCAGTGTCCCTGGGGACTTTGCTGGTGCTCTCAGTGCCCCTGGGGATGTTGGTGCCCCCAGCATGCCCAGTATTCCCAGAGTTCCTGGTGTCCCTGGGTACTTCTCTGGTGCTCTCAGTGTCCCTGAGGACTTTCCCAGTCTCCTCATTACGTCCAGTGTCTCTGCTGCTCCTGGGAACTCTCCCGGTGCTTCCAGTGTCTCTCCCAGTCTCCCCAGTGCATCCAGTATCCCTGATGTCCCTGAGGACTGGGGTGCCCCCAGTGCCCCCAGCTCCCCCAGAGCTCAGCATGGCCCCAGCGCTCTTGCTGTCCGAGAGGACGCCAGTGTTCCCAGTGTGTCCGGTATCCGCGGCGCTCCCGCTGTCCCTGAGGACATGGGTGCTCCCGGTGTCTCCAGTTCCTCCAGTATCCCCTGCGCCTCCGGTATCCCCGGTGCCTCCAGGAGCATCCCTGACGCCTCCAGCGTCCCCAGTGCCTCCAGCATCCCCAGCGCCTCCAAGGCTCCTGATGTCTCCAGCGCTCCTCGTGGCTCCAGTGACGCCGGTGCTCGCGGTGCCTCTGACGCCCGCGGTGCCGCCGGTGCCTCGGGACCCCCAAACGCCGCCGCCGTGCCTGCCGGGGCCCGGTGCGGTCCCATCGCTCGGTGTGGGCCCGGTGCTGTCGCCGCTGTCCCCGGTGCTCGGTGGGGGCCGCGCGGAGCCGCCACTGTCCCCGGTGCCGCCGCTGTCCCCGGTGCCGCCGCGGTGAGCCTGAAGCGGCGCCGGGAGTGCGTCGGGAAGGCGGGGGCGGATCCCGGTGCCGCTCCGGCTGCCGGTGCCGGTCCCAGTGGTGAAGCCGATGCCAGTCCCAGTGGCGGAGTTGATGCCGGTCCCGGTGGCGATGCCGGTGTCGGCGGCGATGCCGGCAGCGGAGCCGATGCCGGTGGCGATGGCGATGCCGGTGGCGGGTCCCGGTGCGGGCGGCGGCAGCAGCAGCAGCAGCAGCAGTAGCGGGAGCAGCGGCTGCGCGGCCCGGCGGGCGGGTGGAAGGCCCATGGCCGCTGCCCCCCCGGTGCCGGTGCCGGTGCCCGCAGCGCCCCGCGTCGCCGCCTGTGCCCCGCCCGCGCGTGCCCGCCGGGGCGGAGCCGCCGCTGCACCGGCCCCGCCGCGTTTAAAGGAGCCGCCGCCGCCCCCGCACCGGCAACGGGACCCGCACCGGCAGCGGCAGCGCGGGGGGCACCGGCTTCACCCCCGAGAGCAGGTTGCGCACACACACGTAAAGTGCACATACACACGTGCATTGTGCACACACACACACACATGTAAGGTGCACGCACACACACACACGCGTGCATTGTGCACACACACACACGCGTGCATTGTGGACACACACATGTAAGGTGTACACACACACATGTAAGGTGCACACACACACATGCGTGCATTGTGCACACACACACGTAAGGTGCACACACACACGTGCATTGTGCACACACGCATGTAAGGTGCACACACACACACGTGCGTTGTGCACACACACATGTGAAGGGCCTAGCACACACACGAACGTCACGGGTACACGTATGGCACACGTGGGGAATGCACAGGCTGCATGTGCAGGGCACACGTGTGAGTGCATGTGACATGGGCAGAATACAGGGTACATGTGTGACACACAGAGTACACACAGCACATGTGACACTCAGAACACACACAATACATGTGACAGCACACAGATCATGTGTGACACACAGCACATGTGACACACACAATACATGTGACACAGCACACAGCTATGTGTGACACACAGCACATGTGACACACACAGCACGTGTCACACACACACACGCCCCGGTTGTGACCCCGGTCACGGGGGTCCATGTCCCCCCACGCCGTGGGACCCCCCCACCCCGACCCCTGGGTTGGTCCCTCCGCACAAGGACCGAGGGGCACTGGAACAGACTGGCAGGGACTGGGAATGCTGGGGAACTCTGGGGGGACCAGGGATAATGGGGGACACCGGGACAGATTGGCAGGGACTGGGGAAGCTGGGGGACTCTGAGGGGGACCAGGGATGATGGGGGACACCGGGACAGACTGGCAGGGACTGGGGAAGCTGGGGGGCGCTGGGACAGACTGGACTGTACTAGCGATGCTGGGGGGCACTGGAGAAACTGGGGGCACTGGCAGACTGGGTTGTACTGGGGATGCTGGGGGGCACCGGGACAGACTGGGGGGGACTGCAGAGGGCGGGTGGGGGCGGATCCCCGCGGTCCGTGGGTGCCCCCCCCAGCCGGCGCCGGTCCCGGGGCGTGGGTGCGGGCAGGCGGCACGGAGCCGGGTCCTCCCCGCCGGCAGAACGGGTCGGACGGGTCCCGGCGGAGACCCCCCCGCGCCGGGGCGGCGCTCGGAACCGCCGGGCCCCCCCCACCCCTGCCGGGGGCTCCGGTGACTCACGGGGGCCGCTCCCCGCCCGCCCCGCCCGCCCCGGCGGGAGTTCCCACGCACACACGGGATGGGGGGGGAAGCAGCCGGTCCCCCCGTAGTGATGGAGGGATAAACCCCTCCTATGTGTCCCCCCTCAGCCCGGTGGGGGAGCGGGCGGCAGCTGGGGCTGAGCCCGGGGGCCCCCCGGCCCCACTTTGCATCACAAAGGGGCTTTGTCTGCAGCTTTGTATGGGGCTGGGAGAGGGGAAAGGAGGGTCCACGGGAGATGGAGACAGTCCCCATGCACGCTGGGGCGGAAGCTGGATCCCCCCGTGCCCCCTCTGCATCCCCCCAGCACACGCAGCTCAGGAGCTCTGGCCTTTATTGGATGGAGGGAGGACACGGGGGAGGGTCCCCGGCCCCACTTAGCGGGTGGGGGGGACACACGAGGGAGGGCCACACACGTGTCAGTTCTTTGTGCCGCGGGGGGAGCCGACGGTGATTTCCCCCAAGCGAAGCTGAGGGCATGGCCCAGTGAGGAAGGTGGGATGACTCAGGAGACCCCAAAAGTCCCTCGGGGGAGTGCGGGGGGGGCCCCCTCAGACCGCCATGTTCTTCACCTGCTCCTCCAGCCCCTGCTCTCGGGCCCCCCCCGCCTTCTTCTTGCCCCCCCCTTCCTGCTGCTTCTTCTGCTTCTTGGAGAGCTCCTGCTCAATAGGCGCCGGCTTCACGAAGGGGATCAGCTCCCGCAGGTCTGGGGAGCACACGGGACCCCCGTCACCCCCCGTCACGAGGAGGGCATGGGGGGGGGGGG